TGAGGACAGTGCAGGAGCCGGATTCACCTGTTTGGGGTTCCAGAGCTTTCTTGGGATCCTAGCAGGCCTTTAGCAAATGCCTCATAACTACTGCTGCTACAGAAAGCTGTCTACCAAAGCGACTCTGGTGCCATGTTCCTCTGCCACTTGGGGGGGGGGGGGAGCCCAGGTGCCAGACATCTCAGGCTTGGCATTTTGGTAACGGCTTCTTTGTGACTCGCCATAGTTCTTAGGTGACTAAATATAAAGGCTGTCACTTTAAAGTCAGTTCCTTTTATACTGTTTAGAAGGCCCTTCAGGGTGTTACATAAATGTCTTTACTCGCCTTGAACTGTGAGAGAAGACGCACTTCCTTGCCTTGTGGATGTTGCCCCAACCAGAGACAGATTACTGTCTCCCCTCCCCTTGCAGGAAAATTAGAATGGAAATAGAATACCATTGTTGAGCCAATCCTAGGAGGGTTTTCCTCCAGAAGTCCAGGATGAGTCATACTGGAAGGCCCACCCCGTAGCCCCAGCTCCTAGACCCCCGTCTGCTGCCCAGAGCCAAGGGCCCGGCCAGACACTCTCTCTACGCTTTGTTTTGGTCCCCAACACCGTAACACTCTGGTCCTGTCTGTTCACCTGGGTTGGGCAGTCCCTCCTGGCCATCTTCTACAGGGCTCAGCAGCACTCTGGCATTGTCCTGAGCCCTGGCAGGCAGGGTCCTTGGCCCTCCTAGACTGGATTCTCCTTTCCTACCTCGGGGGTTTGTGAATTCACTGTCCTCCCCTCCTTTTCTGTCCCCTCCAGCTGTCCCAGCAGTGAGGACCCACTCGGAAACACTTACTCTGCTGCTCCATGTGCCTCTTCTCAGACCACTACAGGCCTCGCAGTGGGCTGTGGGGCTGAGGCTGATCTGCAGTGCGGGCCTCCTCTGTTGTCTCTCTTGCCTGGTGAGCTCCTGCTCAGATCCTGCTCTGCCTCATTTCCTTGAGGCTTGAGGCCAGGCAGGCTAGCACAACCCCAGGCTGCTGTAAAGCTTGCCATTTACCTCCTTAAACCAGTGGGCCCTGTTGGCTCACTGACTCCTGGACAAGATTTGTCGTTATGGCATTACCTTTTTTTTTTCTTTTGTTTTGTTTTGTTTGTTTGTTTGTTTGTTTGTTTGTTTGTTTTTAGACAGGGTTTCTTTGTGTAGCTCTAGCTGTCCTGGAACTCACTCTGTAGACCAGGCTGGCCTCAAACTCACAGAGATCTCCTGACTCCCGAGTGCTGATAAAGACATGCATCACCACTGCCTGGATCCTTTAAAGAGTTGTGTGTTTATGATCACACACACACACACACACACACACACACACACACACACACACACCACAGCATGAATGTGAAGGTCAGAGGACAACTCTGGGCATTTGGTTCTGTCCTTTAACCATGAATGCTGAGTATCAAACTCAGAATGGCAGTCTTTTGTGGCAAGTGTGTTTGTTTATCTGGGGAGCTATCTTACCAACCCCAACATATATATTTTCTTGCTTTTGTGGCTTCCATCATAATTCCAAACCCAAGTGTTTATGCAAATAAAAGATCACTTGCTTGGGGTTGGGGAAGGGCCACAGGGGAAGTGGCTCAGTGTTATCTGGTAGCCCTGAGCAATGTCTTTGGACTGCTTGTCTTTAGACATTGGGGCTGGAAGTTGTTGTGACAGGTGCTCTCCCCCTTGGGCACCGGCCACCTGACCTGACACAGTTCCCTCTGAGGGACTGGGCTAGGGCTCTGCTCTGCTGGCCAGAACAAGTTGGGAGACAGCGTGGGTCACTGGATGGCCTGGAAGGCTGGCTCTCATCTGCCTTTGTAGAAAGGTGCCCACTACTGACACTTTGTAGGGCTGTGGAGTGGACTCCTAATATCACAGGTGTGCCTTTAAAATCCCCCTCACGATCTGGCCTTATTTCCCAGCGAGACCAGACTCTGTGTGACAGGGGAATCCCCAGAGTAGGACCCAGGGGATTGAAATGAGGTAAGCAGCTAGCCACCGTGTGCCTGGGCTCCCTGTGTGGTCACGGACAGTAAGAGGGGGCAGCACCCTGAGGCAGTACATATTTACTAACCCTTCTGAGTCCCAACACTGGTGCAGACGTGTGCTCGTCACAGGTAAAAGTCACACTATGAAAAGGCCACGTGAAGAGGCCTAAGGTTAGTCCCTACCAGGGATGCCCTAGATGTCATACATGTCACCGCAGGTGCTCTCTACCCCTCCGTGTCTAGGTCTGGCACAGTGGTGGCCCATCATGCATTGCAGTGCTATGACCTATGTAGACCCCTGCCAGGCCCTTGCCTAGCTACGTCATCAGGCTGATCTTGTCTAACCTGCTACTCAGATGCTCTGGTGGGTCCCTTCCATTGCTGGGAAAAGCCTCTTCTTTGTGGAAGAAAAGCACAGCATGCGCTGGAGATGTAGCTGATTTGGTGGAGTGCATGTGTCTAGCATGAGCAAAGCCCAGGATTTGATACCCAATACCAAACTAGGCACTCATCGGGTTTGGTGACTCATGCATGCCTAGGATCATAGCACTAAGAAGGGGAGGCTGGAAAAAAGTTCAAGGCCATCCTCTGCTTTAGAGTGAGTTCAAGGCCAGCCTGGGCTACAGAAGATCTTGTCCCAAAATGAAGGAAAAAGAAAAAAGAAGAGAGAAAAAAACCTGGAATTTTTCTGGGAGTGTGTGAAATCCAAATTAATGTGAGTTAAGCCTCATGCTAAGGTATTATAGTGGAAGTCAAGAGCTGGTTCCCAGGCCCAGCACTGTCATGGGGATCATTGTTTTCTGTGGAAATGAACCTGTATGCTTTGTTAGAGTAGGATCATTGAGGGGGAACGTCACGCCCGGCAGCATTCTAATGTACAGATATCTAGAAAGCCCCTCCTTCCTGTCCAGCCAATCCTTAAGGTGCAAAACACATTAAGATCAAATGGATCTCGGAACTGCCTGGTGGTTATCTCTGGTGGTGACTGCACCTCACCCCTTGGCAGGATGGACAGGGAAAGTGCAGTCCAAACATGAAGATGGCATGACTCTTCATGCTCGCCTGGCAGGGAGTGAAACTAGAGAACAGTAGTGGGAGAGATACAGACGTGAGGGCCACACTATGAAGTGTCCCTTGCTGGGCATGGTGTGCTTGTCCTCCGTCCCAGCAGTGGCAAGGTTGAGGCAGAAGGACTACCACAAGTTTGAGGTTAGTTTGGAGTGCATACATCAAGGCTACAAAGCAAGGAAGGAGCCCCCCTTAGAACTGAGAACAAAGTGTCCCGGAGCACCCAGCACCCTCCATCAGTGAGTGGCTGTAAAACACAGGGCGCCTTTCTACTCAGCTTAATCTAACGTGGACACATTTAATGACCGCACTGCTGCTGGGCTAAAGTATGGGCCTCCCTCCCAGGGAACCAAGGGGAGGCCCCCAGTTGCCATTGGTCCAACATCTCTTATTTTCTGAGTCTACAGTCTCTGCCTTGGAAATTGAGTTCCTGTTAAAATTTTAAAAGGGGGAAAAAAAAAACAGGCAGAAAAGGAAATGCCACCAGCCAGGCTCCCCCGCTGTGGCCTTGAGTCCCGACTGTCTGTCGGAAAGGGTCTGGAAGAAGAATGATTTTGGCAGTGTGAGTTTCACAGCAGCCAGTGGAAACTTCCAGGAATGCCGCTCGGGCCAGCCAGGGGCTGTTTCCACTGCCACTTTTACAAGATGCAGACCCGTTCCTGGCTGGCCGGCCACTTGAGGTGTGATGAGATCTTTCAGCTTAGTTCCACCTCTGGATGGAGGTCCAGTCCATGTTCCACAGCAGAGACCCTTCCAGGTTCTGTCCTGTGACCTAGGGCGCAGAGTCCTCCCATCCTTGGGTAGCCATCAGAAGGAGCACCCTCTGTGACAGCTGACATCCACACAGGACACTGTGAGAATATCCAGCTGCACTGGAAGGAAATTCTCCCACAATGTGTCCATGTTATCAAGTGCATGGAAGTTCTCTTCTGGCTCAAGCTTGAGCCTTCATGGAACCTCAGGGAATGGGGCATTATCTCTTGAGAGACATCATGACCTTAGTGCCTGTGGGAACTAAGCCTGCTATGCTCACAGTGGTGGCCTTGCCTGCGGTGACCTTATTCCCAGTGCCTGGCGTGGCCTTCATGTATGCAGTAGGCACTCAGCAACCCTCAGTGGTGGAAATGGAATGGCCAGCTGGGCATGGGTCATCCTAGTAGGTGTTAGGGTAGGTGTGACTGGTGGGACATGCTGGGATGGCTCAGCCCCTCTGAGAAGTTGTGCCCACTGCTGACACTGCCTCAAGTCAGAGGAAATAGACGGGTTTGCACCACCTTTGTGGGAGCCCTGTCTACAAGACTGGACCTGGTCCATGAAGTACACACAGCCTCGGGTGGCTGGATCCTAGGCAACCCTTATGCAGGGTGTGTGGAAGTAAGTGAATCAGTGTGGCATTGTCACTTGCCAGTGTCACCTTCATCCTCACCCCCAGGTGGCACTGTCTCACTCTGCCCTCATAGGACCCACACAAGTGGAGTACCCACCCTCTGGGCTTAGGGGACTCACACACCCCAGCTTTGTCCCCTGCCCACCTTGGGAAGAGTGCTCTCAGCACACAGGGAGGGCTGTGTCCTGGGCAGGACCCAGGGGAAGAAGTGTCATTTGTGGGGCAGCTCCCTTCCCAGACAGTGGTCTCTGGTGATACACAGAGCCTGGCCCAGACTAGGGGTCAAAATTCCTTGTGCCATGGTTATCTTGTGGGAATGGCTGAGGGCTGTGAGATCTGTCATCTGCCTCCGCTCAAGCATCTCTTCCTGCCCACAAACTCCGGAGATGCACACAGAAGGCATGCAGGGCCAGACAGAGCCCACTGCTGGGAAGGGAAGGCACCTGGCATTTGGGCGGCAGCCCAGGCTGATTGGCTTGTGATCCCTAGGGCAGCAAGATGGGCCCTCCATCCTGAGCCTGGTACTTTTTATTTTTCAGACAGTGTCCATCCTGGAACAGCGGTTGACACTGGCAGAAGACAAGCTGAAGCAGTGCCTGGAGAACCAGCAGCTAATCATGCAGCGAACGCCGTCGTGATCCAGGGAGCAAGAATCAGGAGCTCAGTTGATTAGGAGGACAGCAGGCCAGGGATTTGTACGGGGACTTGAGTAAATAAATAAAGGGATTCAGCCCTGAGGGAGCCACATCTGTACCCAGTCTGAGATTGGGTGCTCCTGCTCCCCATCCCCAATTGCTGTTTGTACCTGGAAGCTGACCATGGGAAGCGCCAGTGGGCGGAGCCACACAGAAGGGAGGCTTGTGACCACACCTAGTTTATTAACAGAAAGGAGCCAATTGAGCTGGGCGCTTCCTCCGAGTACTAAGATGGTGGCACACTGCCTAGAGAGCCTTGCTGGGTTTCCATTCACCTCACCTCAGCCTCCTGACTGGCTTCTAAGTTGGCATACTGCTCATTGCTTGGATAAGGCAAGAATTTTCTCCCCATCTGACCCTTCCCCCCCACCAAAAAAGCCCCCAAGGGACACATCAGAGTCAGGTTTATTTGGGAATAAGCTTGGTGGAATGGGTAGGGCCTTTGGAAAGGCTTTAATTTCTGTTACCACATATATTCGCAAGGGCCTGTGGCTTCTTCCTCTCTACATGCATGGGTACAGAGGGATCTGGAAATTAAAACTAATTTGACTGATGTTGTTGCAGGAATGGCTTGTTCTGGGTAAGACCTAAGATCTAACCAATCCTCCCATCCCAGGGCCCATAAAGGGAGAGTCACCGTAGCAACGGGAGGTGGGGTGCTTGGGGGATCGTTTCTGAGACCAAGGACCCTTGTTTGCAGTTCTTTGGGGGTGCTGGAGTGCAGGGTAGCCAAAGCCCTGTATCCTACCCATCTCCCCCTAATTGGCTTCCGCGGGGATGTGGAGGCCCCCAAGCACCCTGTTTCCATTCATCATGAGGGTTTCTAGGGGCCCCTTCCTCCACATTTAGACTGGAAAAGCCAGCGAGTACTTCCCTTGTCTGTATGGCTTGTGCCACAGCCGTCAGTATTTTGGGGCTTAGACAACCAGGGGGGTCCTTACCCCCTAATGTGCTGCCCTGCCCTGGGGGTGGGTGTCATGCTAGAACACCCCAAAAGCTGTCAGTACCAGCTAGTTAGCATGGTCACAGCCCTTGCAGCTTCCAGCAGAAGTAGAGCCCGAGTGTCTAAGAGTGCAGGCTGGCAAGAGGGCCAGCCTGTGTTGATTTCTGATAACCCTCAAGTGTGGGAGGTTGTCTCCTGCAGCTTGTAGTAGGTAAAGAGAGCTGAATTCCAGGGTCATACCTTGGTCCTGCCCGGCCCCAGCTGTAACCCTCAATTCTGCAGTCTGACCTGTCTGAGCCTCTGACTGGTACAGTTTGAAGTGGTGACATCTAGTCCTCTAGGTGCCCCACCCTGCCCTGTGCAGAGTAGTGGCTCAAGGGAACCCGTCACTCTGTCCAGTCCCACTAGATGACAGAGCCTATTGTCAGAGACAGCAGGTTGGATAGGAAGAGCTGGGTTCCCTGGGAAAGCTGCAGTGCCGGGGCCTGGTAGCCTGCACTGGCAGGTAAGCCCCTCGGCTGCCTCTGGAGGTAGTAAGCACCCCAGCCCACGAGCCTCAGCTAGATACTAACTCAAAGGGCGCAGATTGTAGGGCCAGCCTTGTCATCCCCTCCCATGCTGGTCTGCCGCCCTCTTGGTGGAGGCAGGCTGAGTGTGGCACACGCCTTTAATCCCAGCACTCAGGAGGGAGGCCGGCAGATCTGAGTTTGAGCCTGCTCTCACAATGAGACCCTGCCTCAAAAACCAGGTAGAGGTAAAAGCTCAGAGTCAGCACTTACCCCTCTACTTCCTGGCTGCGGGTCCAAGGTAACGAGCTGCTTCAAGCACAAGCTGCCATGGCTTCCTACCATGATGGACTGTAAACCAAATAAACCTTTCCTTCCTGAAGTTGCTTTTGCCAAGTATTTTGTCAAAGCAATGGGAAAGTAAGAGCAGTCTTGCAGGATGTTTCTACAGCTCACACATACCTCCCTTGGTAGAGCCGCAGGGACCAGGGAAAGTACAATTCTCAGTAGGCATGCATTCTACCCCTGGGCTTCCCCAGCCCACATACATGGCTCTTGGAATGATCTGATTGTGGCAATCTTTACCTCCATGCCCAGGGCAGACTCAGGAAGGGCCAGAGTCCATTTAGGGCCACATTCCTCCCAAAAGGGCCCTTTTTGCTCCCACAATTCCCAATTCACAACCTCCCTACTCCAAGAACTTGGGGACTCAAGTTGCACCTTGTGGGAAGGGGTCTACAGTCCCCTTACCACTCTGGGCATTGACCATCTACCCTGTCAACTCCTGTCCCCATGGAGACCTACGGACTCCCTGGGCAAGGCAACTGTCTGGGGTATGCTAGGAGGAGGTTCAACACAGCAGGCCTGGATGGACTTGGGTGGCTTGCAAGTTTGGAGGTCATGTGACTGGGCCTTCCTTGCTGTATTTTATCTCCCCAAACGATACTACCAACCCCACCTGACAGCTACTCAGCCCCCACCCCCTCCCTCTTGCCGCCAAGCACAAAAGCAGTCTCTGAAAGTCGGATCTGAGTTTGGATCTGAGTAACTGTGCTCCCAGAAAGGCAGAGTGTAGCTCTTTCCCTCCCTGACTCTGTCCTCAGCCCTGCACAGGGCCAGCTTGTGGGGGTTCCAGGGTGTGGACCTGCTCTTGTCAGAGCAGTGGTACCTGGCAGCCCCAGGAAGAAGTGGCCAAGCCCGCTCCCAGCCCGTGGTTTGCTTCTACTGCTGTGATAAAATGTTGATCCAAAGCAGCTTAGGGAGGAGGTTGGCTTGTCTTACACATCTGGATCTCAGGCCATCCCTGAAGGAAGTCAGGGCAGGAACTCAAGCAGGAGCCCGGAGGCAGAAACAAGCTGAGGCCACAGACAGTACCTCTTCCTCTCCACGGCTCACTCAACTTGTTTATAAAACCCAGGACCCCTAACTGAGGGGTGGTACCACAGGGGGCTGGGCCCTCCCCCACAGTGAGGGTCCATCCTTCCCCAAATGACCCTAACTTGTCAAGTTGACCAAAACTAACCAGCACACAGGGCAAGCTCACTGCCCCTCATCTTTGAGTACCACCCCCAACCCAGGAGCATCTAACAGGTGTGGTCCAAGAGCCCATGGCTATTTCCACAGTCTCTGCCTTGGAACACTCTTGTCTGTCTTGGGATCACCGTCCTCCGATGACTGCCATGGCTCATGATTTCTTCCTGGTAGTGGACAAAGCAGCAGAGTTGGGGTGATACTCCTCACCCTTGGCAGGATCTGTCTGGCTCTCAGCCGGGTAGTGGTGGCACATGCCTTTAATCCCAGCACTCAGCAGACAGAGACTGGCCAGTCTCTGTGAGTTCAAGGCCAGGCTGATCTATAGAACAAGTTCCAGGAGAGTCAGAACTGCACAGAGAAACCCTGTCTCAAAAGAAAAAGGAAAATGCCCTTATGTTTTTTGGCCTCTGAAATACAGGGCGGGAATGTGAGAGTATAAAACGGTCGATTACCCTACATCCAGGTCTCTCTCATGCTATTTGGCTCTACATATCAATGGCCCCAGGGTCTCTCTGGCTCAAATTCCAGGTGGCCTTCATTTCCTAGGCCACGGGCATCTGTAGGGGCAAGAAGGACATTGGAAGTATGAGGAGGTAAAATTTCTGGAAAGTCACCTCTTCTGCCACCACTAGGGCTAGCACAGGTCTGGGGGGTGGGTGGGTATTTGTGATTACCCAGAATTCCGGAAACCCAGCCCGCTGAGCAAGCAAGTGCCTGTTGAGTCATCTTCACCCTGCCTTTCCAGCTCCCTGTCATTAACCTCATCTTCCTAATTTGCTCAAGATAGGCCCAAACCTAAACGGGTGCGTGACCATCCAAGGGGGACCAGAGGCTACAGCGACAGCTTCTCACTATCAGCTATACTCCCCCAGCTCTACTCCACCCTGGGTGGCCAAAGGGCACTAAGTTTGCTGAGGGACCTGTGACAGACAGGCTGTTGGCAGTATGTCCCAGGGCATAGTTCCACTTCCTGTGACCATTGCTGCTTAGGCATGGGACCTGGTTCCTTTACCTGGGAAACTGGCCTACCCCAGTCAGGGTACCATGAGCACTGGGGGCTCACTTCCACCACCACGCTAAGGAAGTTACCTCTCTAGAAGCTTCACTCTGCCTCTTGGTCCAGGATGCCGAGCGCCCCTGGTATGCTTGGGGTGGGCCTTGAGCCAGCCCAGAGTGCCTGCTGCTGCCTAGCTGCTAAGAAGCACGGGGAGCCAGCCCCTCCTGCATGTGGAAGCCCTCTCCAGAGAGCCTATTTATAGAGCAAGGGTAGGTGTTTTCACTTAGGTGAGGCCACCAGCTGGTGGCCTGCAGTCAGTTGTGGAAGAACCCCCTTCCCCCTCAACCCTTCCCTCCACCCCCCCCCCCACTCCTGCTGCCTGGAGAAGTCTGTTCACTGGGAGGAAGGAAGTCTGCTTTCCCGACACTTCCTGCTCTCAGCGTCCACTTCTCTCTTTCAGGCACAGCATGTGTTTCTGGAAGGGGGTCCTTCAGACTGTCCGGTGGGAACCCTGTGGGCAGAGTGTGGTGGGACCACCGGTCGGGGAGTGTCATGCAGTCACACACACCAACACGTCGCCCATCCCCACCTTCCAGTTGGGCATCTGCACTTTGATCTCAGGCCTCCCCAGTGGATGATGTCCTTGCTTCCAAATGCTCAGCTCCCTGTCTCCCATAGCCCTCTGCCTTCCACCAGGCTTGGCTTGGTGTGGCCTAGGGCCTTGCTGGGATTTGACAGCTCTCTCTAGAACAACCATGCTCTTTACGAAACTGCTGCAGCATGAAGCCAATCTCCACACTGAGCCCCTTACACTGATCCCAGCCAAGGATGCATGCTCAGAGCTGGGGATGGATCCTGTGCTTAGAGCCTGCACATGCTCATCTCTCCCCTGCCCTTTTCTCATGAGAGCTGCTGCAGAATTCGTCCCTCAGAAGCCTCTGAAACCTGGAGCTGAGAAGCAGCCTAATTAGCAACTCCTGCCTCCCCAGGCAGCTGCTCACATGCGCCCACACCTATGACTGCTCACTGGAAACAGAGGGTACTTTCCTCCCCAGAAACCTGGCTGCTGTGGACTCAGGCAGGAGCTGGGAGAGTGACCTCTGTTCTGAGGCTGCTCCTAGAATGTGGGTTGTGACCATGGCCCCCAAGCAGCTGGGATGCACCTCGAATAAGGCCAGTCATGAGATCCCACAGGATGCCCACAGCCCTTTGAGAGGTGTCTAGTCTCCTGTTGAGAACCAATGCCTCTGATTTGAAGGAGACATGGTTCCATAGACCCCTCTGGTGGGAGTAGAAGCCTTAGGCAGGTGAGGACCGACCACCGCCCACCCCCCAAGAGCATGAGCCTGGTGAGCCCTGCAGATCAACAGCAAGCCTGGCAAGGAGTCCAGGCCTTTCCAACCTGGCCTCCCATGCCTGCCCCTGGCAACCCCATTGCTTCTCAACACAGCACTCAAGCTGCCGAAGGGTCAAGCGAAAAGACTAAACATCGGAGAGCTCTTGCCGCTCCTGCTCAGCCTCCCCCAAAGACCGGCCAAGGGACCCCCCCCCCCAGTTCCAGGGTGTTTGTACAC